CTTCGATCAATTTGCCTGTTCTGTTCCCCACTCTGTCTCTGGTGAATCCTCTCACCACCCCCCCCCACACACACACCTCTGGCCTGTACTCCAGCTCTTGTATGCATGAATGGATAAATTTTTTAAAAAAGATTTATTTGTTTATTTACACAAGCACTGGGTACAGTCAGAAATGTGGGAGGGTGAGAATCCACCAGAGCCAGAGCGGGGACAGGACAGGCAGACTGACGAAATACACTGCTGAGGGGAGCAGCGGGCACGGCAGGAGAGGTCTGTGCGCCAAGTGGGACCCTCGCCAGGGGCTGGGGATTGAACCAGTTCTGCAGAGGCTGTGGGCAGCTGCGCAGCCCAGCACTCAACTGCTGCGCCACGGGGGAGGCCCTGATAAATCTTTAAAAAAAAAAAAAAAGAAATAAAATTGGGCCTCCCCGGTGTCGCAGCAGTTGAGCGCTGGCTTAAGAAGCTGCCCGCGGCCTCTGCAGCGCCGGTTCGATCTCCGGCTGCTCCCCGGCTATTCCCCGGCTACCGGAGGAGGGTCCCACATGGCGCGCAGACCTCTCCAGCTGCCCGCTGCTCCCCTCAGCAGTGTGCTTCGGTTCTTCTGCCTGCTCTGCTCCCCGCTCTGGCTCTGGTGAATTCACTCACCCTCCCGCACTTCTGACTGTACCCAGTGCTTGTATAAATAAATAAATAAATCTTAAAAAAAAAAAAAATCATTGAGCTTAACAGTAGTCATTTGTTTTGTATACCTTTTTGAACATATTTTATGCATCAATTTTTTAAATATTTGAAAAATCAACTCTTGGTGCAAAGGACATCCTCAAATTTAAGACACTGATTACATATAGAATTAAGTGCTTTTTCTTCTTTATAATTGCCATATTTCTCTAGCTTTCAATAAACATGCATAATTTTTCATGTCTACAATCAGGAATTGAGAAATAAGTGCCAAGCTTTTGGTATCAGTTAATGTACACCTCTGTTCAAAAGTAAATGCCTATCCACATTTTAAGTGAAAAATAAATTCTCATCTTTAACAGAAGACTTTCTACCCTTCCACTTAATATTTTATAATAGTGGTATGCCAGCACTTAAATATTTGGATGGTGGAGTTGCAGACAACCATTATTTTCACCTTTATATTAATATTTTAATTTTTATGTTAAACCAACTTAAAGTCTCTATTACCTTCAAAATCAAAACAGAGATTTTTTCTTTTGTCTTCTAATGAGAAAACATTAAGGTTACCAGTATAAATAAAGAATTGGTTTGGAATCGGCATGAAGTTCGTTTTAACTGAAGTGTATTAAGCCACAAGTGAAATCTGTTCCACTTTAAGTCTAGGAACCAGTCATTTAGCCCATTCAGATTTATATTTAGGATAATTCAAAATATATAACGGCTTGCTATTTTGGCATCATGCTCACACGAACAGCCTGTGCACTATCTCCCAAGTTAATTTTGCTAATCATTTATTCTACTTTTGTAGCTCAAAGCAAAACGGATACATCAAATATTGCATAAAAGCCTCCATGAGTTTTCCTGTTGCAGAAAATATAAAACTAGTGGAAGTAAATTTCTCATCCACTGATTTAGAAGTATATTGACATTTAATTTTAAATGTTTCTTAAAAGTTTCTAGGTTGGGGGCCTCCCCGGTGGTGCAGCGGTAGAGCGCTGGGTTGCAAAGCTGCCCGCGGCCTCTGCGGTGCCGGTTCAATCCCCGGCTGCTCCCCGGCCACTGGAGGAGGGTCCCACACGGCGTGCAGACCTCTCCTGCCGCCCGCTGCTCCCCTCAGTAGTGTACTTGGGTCCTTCTGCCTGCTCTGCTCCCCGCTCTGGCTCTGGTGAATTCTCTCACCCTCCCGTGCTTCTGACTGTACCCAGTGCATGTATAAAACAAACAAACAAACAAATAAATAAAGCATGCCTCTATAAAAAAAAAAAACAAAAAAAAAAAAAACAGGAAGGTGCCACCAGTTAGGCTAACTGTAACACAGAGAATAGTTAAAACTTCTGAAAGGAATGTGGAAAATTAATTAAACAGTGTATAATTCTTAATACTTTCCATTCAGCCATAAGAGAAAATATGTATATAATCTACTTACTATTCATATTTAGTTTAAAAATGTATTAATTTTTCTTCTTGGAAATGCTTATATAATGATTTTTTGCTTTTTATATATCCCAGCTTTTTCCAACCAGTTATCAGTAAGTGAAAAAGTTTCAGTAACATACTAATTTAGAGTAAACTAAAAATGTAGTCCAAATAATCCACATATAAAGTAACCAGGACAGAGATAAATATGATATATGACACATTCCAACCACATGAAGATCAAGCCTGAGTGAGCAATATTATTTGGGTTTGTGTGTATTTAAAAAAAAATTAACTGAGAAATTTATTAAAATCAATTGTAGGCAAGTGGGGTGGGGAGGAATCTTACCATATCCGGAAATTAATAAAACACTTGAAAAAACGAATATAAATTTAATAATAAACATTATGGTCAGGCTGTTTATTAAGGAGGCAACCACACATACAAGTTCAGCTATAGAAATGTTTGCAAATCAAATTTCATGTGATCTAAAAGGACCATGCGTAATGTCAAAACTGGACGTCTGTACAGTCAATAAAAAGTTAATTCAAACATACATAGTCTAGATCATTCTAGAGTTATACAAACATCTGGGGCCACATATGTATCTAATTTCCTTTCAAAAAAACTTTTTTTATAAAAGTGATGTATTGAGATAATAATTTTAAAAAGTATCTGACAATTATGAATGGTCCCCAGTTTTACAAAATGTGATTTCCAGGGTATGAAAACTGAAAAAAGTCAACTCTTCAAAGAGTGTTTTATATTATACAAACAAGTTTTGTAGAAAAATGATCCAGCAAATGCTTGAGTTAAGAATATTTATATTTTTTTCCAATTCTTTACACTTTTTATTAACACACTTACAAAAAAATAACATTCAAACACTGAGAAAATTAAATAACTTTGGAAGCAGAGCTCATAGTTTTCTGCTTACATATAAGTGACAATTCTGGGCTGTTGGCACAAAAAAATTATCAACATTCATAAAACCCTTACTACTATATATCAAACATAAGTTAAAATCATAGGCACTAGTTTATAAAATCCACATTTCTTCTGTGTGACTAACCACAGTGAATCCTTAGACTTTCCCAAAGAGAAAAATTGGCAATACACAAAGGCATTCTAGTAAAAAGGCAATTTTTCTCTTTAGGAAACTAAAAGCCAATAGTCTGTGGTAGTACAACAGCAGGTAAAATAATACCTTACCCAACTCAGATCCAAAGAAGTTTTTAACAAGTGATGTAATATTTTAATTAAAAAAAATAGACTTTTTTTTCTGATGCAGCCATTTAAAAACAAAGTTAAATAACCTGAATACTCCTTTTGAAACCAATAATCTAACCTAAAAATTGTAATGGGTGTTTCATAATAGTTAAAATTTATCTTAATTATTAGATTGCAGCATATCTGTCTTGCACTGTTGCACTGAAAACTGAGACCTATTTTGTTTTGTCTATATGTGATTTTAAAAAGAGACAGTGGCTAGTTCTTTTACTTAGATTTTTACATGAGATACCCCTCCCCCCACCCAAAGCAGATGCTTTCTTTTATTCTTCTCTAAAAAGCAACATTTTTGAGATCATCATCATGTGGAATTCTGGCGCCATCCTTTCCTGACCCATTCCCATTGCCCTCAAATCCAAGGATAAAATTTTCTTCCTTGTATTACACATCAAAATATACTAGCACTGGCTGGCAGTTTAACTTTCCATTGCTTGTGCTAATGAATGACTCCCTATCTGTCAAGCTAATAAAACTAGATGGTGTCAGTCTCGGCAGGTTGGGGTTCTTGGCTTTCTGCTTCACCATTCTCTCAACCTGTTAACCTTCCTACTAACCTGAATATCAAGCCTCCCATTTCTCTCTCAACTTCTTTTGCCAACTTACAGAATGTCTTTGAATAACAGGAAATGAACTTATGTTCAAATTTCTAAAATCCTTTAGGTACCTGATAGACAGTATTTAGAGCTGTTCAAATACAGTATCTAAAAAAAAAAACCATTAACAAAAATGAGAAGCCTGCTGCAGAAGGAAGTTTTAATCCGATAATAGTCTGACAAACCCAAAATAAGTGATTTTCAGGACATACATAAGAGCTATTAGAAAGCAAGTATTCAACAGGTTTTGAGTCACATGTAGGGAGGTTGTTACCAAAAATGCAAAAATTTATATAAGGCAGAATCTAAGTCAAAAGGGACAGTATTACCAAAGAATGTTTTATGCAGTTACTCAGTTTAAAGTGAATAAATTTAAGTAGGATTCAGCAGGCTATATTTTCCTACCAAATGATAACCGTTGTGTCAATTAATGGTAAAACCAAAACTGTCATTACCAGAGATTTGTAGGTTAAGTGCATAGATTTTTTTTTTTTCCCTCTCTCTCACTGTATGGTTTTGTTCCAGGTTGTAAGCACTGAGGTGGTGTTATTTATATCAAGAATAAGACACATACTACTTGTTCTTTCCCATCATGGAAACCTGTTATTAAAAACAAGATCTCTTAGTTCTCTAACAGATAACAGTATGTGAAGAAGTTGGCTTCAATAGCAAAGGCCATCTTTCCTGAGCCAGAAGCTATAAAGTTTACAAAGATTGTACAACTGATATTAAGCCCTTTTGGCAATCAAAACAAACACACAGAAGTCCGATGTGTCAATGCAACATGATGGATGTGTGCTGTAACACTACCTGGTGGCGGTGATGTGTGAGCTACATCCAAAACTTAAAAATTAAACAAAATGACATTTTATTCTAATGACTGCAAAAACCACTTAAAGAATTCTCCCAAATTTAAGTATCTTGTTTTAAATCTATAGCTTTCTCCCCACCCCTGTTCATCTGAATCTAGTTTCTTAAAGTACTAGTGAACTACTAGTGAAACATTGTAGGTATAATTAGTTCGCATTAACACAGGTATTTATTGGTACTATTTATACAGTAAATTAGGTTGAACGTGAAGTTTTGGATAGCTAGAATTCACCATTTTCTTCTGCACAAAGGTATTCTCTCATTCACAAATGGGCATTTCTCTTTGGCATCCGTTAGTTTTTTGCCCAGATATTGGCCTCTGCCAAATATTTAAAAATCAACTTAGTTTCTAGTAAACAAAACTAAAAATGATTCCATGGAGAGTGATTGTATGATTACCAAACAAGTCTGGTGTTAAATGTCATTAAAGTGCTGCTTGATCATCTCTGTCAGTTTGTGCTAATTAAGACAGAGAGGGCTGGGACTGTATAAATCCCAAGAGTCTTATCTGAACAGTCTGCATATAAAAGTTGTCTGTTAGCTTGGTGATGGGGTATCCATGAAGCTGTGGACCTCTGCATTCTTTTCGTTGCTGGTCAATAACAGCCATCTTTCCAACTGTCATCTTTCATGCTACCATAGGTTTTAGGAGCTGGCAAGGATCTGAAATAAAGCAATTTTATAAAGTGATTTGCAAGATTTTACAAAACAATACCATGTTACCTCTGATATATCTTAATTCTTTTGCAGGTGGCATCATGATCCAGTGAAGGGACTACTAAAATCAAAGCCCCACAATTAGTGGTATATCCATCCCACATTCACATTTCCACAATTTTCAAGATTTTTTTTTTTTTGATTTATATATATTTTACGTCATTGTTCATTTTTGTACAACGTTTGCTTCCTTCTCTCAGGTGCAGTCCCTGTAAAATTGGCACCTCCAATTCCCCCGGCACCATCGCCACAGTCCCTTGTGCTCTTCCTCTCCTATTTTGGTTTCTCTCCTCCCCCCCCTACCCCGCAGAGTGTCTTTGATTTATAGTTCCCTGTTAATTTTGTTTTATCATTTATTATTATTATTATTATTAATTTTTCCTGATCCCTTATTTGGTTCCCCTATAGTCCTCCTATAAGTGAAACCATCCAATATTTTTCTTTTTCCTTTTGGTTATTTCACTGAGCATAACCCCTTCCAGCTCCATCCATGTTGCTGCAAATGACATGAATTAATCTTTTTTTATTGCTGAATGGTATTCCACTGTGTATATATACCACATCTTTTTTTAAAGTTTTATTTATTTATACATACAAGAACTGGGGTGTAGGCCAGAGATATGGGGAGTAAAAGGATTCATCACAGAGAGGGGAGCAGAACAGGCAGATCTACTGGAATACACTGCTGAGGGGAGCAGCGGGTGAGACAGGAGAGGTCTGCTGCGCCATGTGGGCAGCTTCCTGGCCAGGGATCAAACTCTGCTGCAGTGGCTGGTGATAGATCCACTGCACTGAGACTTTGACCGCTGCGCCACCAGGGAGGCCCATACATAACACATCTTGATCCAGTCATCTATTTTTGGGCATTTGGGTTGTTTCTATATCTTACCTATTGTAAACAGTGCTGCAATAAACATAGGGGTGCAAGTATCCTTTTGAATTAATGTACAATTTTCAAGTTTTACTGGTAATCAGGTTACTTCGATAACCTCTTTTTGTTAACATAGCTACTAGAATAAAAGAAAGGAAAAGATGAGGCCATCTAGAAAAAGTAGCCTTATCATGTATTTATTTATATATAGGGCAGAGTGAGGACTATGGCAGTGGGGACTTAGTGTCATTATTACTAGAGAGGCAAATACGATAGTGCTAAAAATATCTCCAAAATCAGACATACTTGGAGCTGAAGGTCTTATTAATTAATTGTGTAGTCTTAGGCAGATTATTTAACCTCATTAAATTTCAGTATTTTTCTCTGAAAAAATAACAACAGTACACATTTGATGCTATTGTAAAAATTAAATAAGGGAAGTATAAATTATTTAGCACTGTTCAAAGCTACTATACTATTGAATTCAGAAGTGTAATATGTTTAAATCAATTTAAATGCTTATGTGATGAAAGCATTTTATTCAAGCAAATAAATATTTAATGTTTGATTACAGTTGACATTTAATCTTACGGATGGTGGTAACATTTCTGAAAGGTAGAAAAGATTACAGATGCAATCTGGCTGGACTCAGGATCACCTGAAGATTAAACAAACAAAAACCAAGCATATCCCCAGATTTTCAAGCTTTAAAAACACCCTCCTGGATTATATTCAGACTTAGTACCTGGCAGTTTTAACTCTTAATCTCAGTTTTAACACGGTTTTATTATCATTACTGAGTATCATATTCAAAACGAACAATTATAACAATCAAATTGAATGGTTTTAACACTTTTTCTAGGACTTTAAATCAGGTTATATACCTGGGCATATTTAATTTGAATTAGAGTGGTACAATATCCTGAAATCCCAAAGGTTTCTTTTAAAATGATTAAGCAATGTTTTATTAAAATGGTATTCTCTCTGCTCACTTTCCAAGGTAGAGATGAAGGTAATTTCATTCTACTCACTTTCTGATGCTCAACAATGTTGAAACAGATCATTTGCCACTTACCTGCGAACAGGCTGTGCAAGTTTGCTGCGAGGCACTGGTATACCCCCAGCAGAAGGGGCACTGGGTCTGGGCAAGCCACTTCTCATTGAGGTTGTCCCTGCAGGTCTGGTTAGAGTCATGCTGTTGATATTGCTGGGAGGATTTGCAGGGACTGTGTTCTGAACCATGGGTGGCCCAGGTGAGGAGGTGGTTTGCGTGAGCTGTGTTGTTTCTTGGCTACCAGGAGAACCAGAGCCATGGTTACTAAATGCTTTTACTGGCTGCCGGAGAGCCAGAGGAGATGGTGCTGCAGGGGAGCGGAATTTGCCTGGAGAAGGTACTGCAGAACGGCAAAGAAAAATCAATGTTGTTAGTGGAAACCAAGTGTAAGTGAAATAATTGTTTTATGATACACTTCACTGGGCACAAAAACCATTATTCACAAAACCCTACTCTAGAAATTAAAGGAATAAAGAATATTTCTGGGCTAATAAAAAAAATTGGTGAGTCATAAATAACAGTGTTCTTCCTCAGAAGATAGTCAACAATCCTTGACACCAGCTATGTTTAGCTAAGAATCCACAATACCAGAGGCAAAAAGGTACTGCAGGATTTTATTTCACTGTAGCAAATAACCAGGACCACATTCTAGAAGGGATATAAAGGCTAACTATTGGGTGTTGACTTTCCCATCAAATAAACACCATGTAAACATATATCATGTATCTGGTGGGCGTACCTCCACCAACAGCCCGTTAATATCTATGGTGTAACTTAAAATTTAGAAACTAAAATTTATTTAAATAAAAACTTCAATTGCTATGCTTCACAAAATAGGGAAGTTACAAATCCAGAGGCATATCTACAGAGGTATATGAAACCATAGGATAAAGAGTACCTTTTTCTGTAATGTCAATTCTTTTTTTTTTTTTTAAAGATTTATTTATTTATACAAGAACCAGGGTACAGTCCAGATGCGCGCGAGGGTGAGAGGATTCACCAGAGACAGAGCGGGGAACAGAACAGGCAGACTGATGAAATACCTGCTTAGGGGAGCAGCGGGCATGACAGAAGAGGTCTGCCGCGCCATGTGGGACCCTCGCCAGCTGGCCGGGATCGAACTGGCGCTGCAGAAGCTGCGGACAGCTTCACAGCGCGTGGCTCAACCACCTGCGCCACCAGGGGAGGCCCTGTAAAGTCAATTCTACTAAGTGGTAACCAAAACACAATAAAATAGTGATATATGAAATAACAAAATGTATAATTTGCATTAATTTTTAAGACAAAAGAAGATTTCTAATAAGTTTTATTACTGCTGTGGTTATTTTGCATTATACATTCAGATCTCCTGAGGTACACATTCAACCTTTCCTGTTTATTGTTTTGATAAATCTTCTTTGAAAAGGTATCAGTTTTGAGTTCTTCAAATGCTCATAAATGACGACACACAGTATCATTATATTAATGCTCTTTATCTAACAAAGAACACTGTGGTGAGACTCAGAGCTCAGGCACTATGCCAAGGAATTTAGTCTACAATGGAAGTCAGATATTTTAAAACCACCACAGAAGCTTTCAAATACAATGTTAAAACTGTCAGAAGGGGCTCACCCTCTTGCTTTAAATACCTACAAAACCAGATGAAATATATACAAGTTTTCAAATTTTGGACAATGTAGTATAGGAGTGTAATCTCTGGGAGGTGGTAAGCCCTGTGAACAACCTGGAATTTTTTTTTTTTTTTTTTTTTTTTGGTCTAGAGACATTTTTTGGGTTACAGAACAAGGAAGCAGATTCCAAGTAGATCAAAGTTATTGTGCTAAGTTAAAAAGACAAAAATTAGAGTATGAGGGGCAGAATACCTCAGAGGAGGTATTCCACTAGATTGCATAAGTCAGCTTTGGGGTTTGCTCAAATCTTTGGCTAGATGTTGAGCTGTGTGTGTGCCAGACAATGTTCCATAAGACTGAGCAAAGGATGAGTGGAGTATTGTGCAGAATGAAGAGCTTCCAAAGCCAACACAGGATTAGGAAGCTACTTTCATCCAGTTAGACAGTTCTTGTTGAACATCTAGAGCAATCAGGAGACACTCCTAAAGGGATAACCTAACCCTACTCTAAACAGCCTAAGTCTTTTTTTTGTTTTTTTTAAAGATTTGTTTATTTATGCATACAAGAACTGGGGTATAAGCCAGAGGCACGGGTGGTGAGAGGATTCACCTGAGAGAGTGGGGAGCAGAATAAGCAGATCTACTGAAATACACTGCTGAGGGAAGCAACCTGTGAGGCAGGAGAGGTCTGCTGCACCAGGTGGGTCAGCTTCCTGGCCGGCCAGGGATGGAACTGTGCTTCAGTGGCTGGCAATAGCCTGAGAGCACTGTCTTTAACCACTGCATCACCAGGGAGGCACTAAACAGACTAAATCTTAAAGCAGAGTTCAAAAAACTACCACTCACAGTTAAGTTTCAATAAGAAAGTTTTATTAGGACATGGCAACAACACTTGTGTGTTTATATGATTTTATAGCTGCTTTCTAGGGACAAGGGCAGAGTTGAATAGTTGTAACAGAGACTATATTAGCCACAATCTTAAAGTGTTTACTATCTGACTCTTCAATAAAATGTCTGCTGATACCTAAAGGAGCAAACTGATCCGTGAATAATTGCTTGCCACAACAGACTATTACTATTTAAAAGAAGATAAGAGAATCCAACACAAAACAATGTAAAAAAAAAAAATCACAACATCCACTATCCAATACAAAAGTAGTAGACATACAAAGGAATAGGAAAGTGTAACCAAAACCGGGATAAAAATTAGCCAACAGAAACAGACCAAGAAGTCACAAAAATGACCAAACCAGCAGGAAAGGATTTTAAAGCACCTAAAGACATAACAGTTTGAATAATCCAAACTAAAGCATATGGAGAATAAAAATACCCAAAAACCAAAATGATAAAGCCCCACTGAATAACAGGTCAATACACTGCTGTCTAATATATGCAAGTAGATCCCAGCTGGAAGAGGGCTATGAGTGGGGCAGAAAACATTTTTAAAGTAAACAGGAAGTTTGAAAACCATAAAAGACTGTTTTTAAACAGAGGAACAAAGATAAAATATCACATACTTCTCAATAAAAGGAGGTAAGCTAACTACAATGGTGTAACACAGCTGAAGGGCTTAAAAGTCTATCAGTCTAGAGTCTTTTTTTTTTTTTTTTTTTAGAGGCATGTTTTATTTATTTGTTTGTTTGTTTATACATGCACTGGGTACAGTCAGAAGCGCGGGAGGGTGAGAGAATTCACCAGAGCCAGAGCGGGGAGCAGAGCAGGCAGAAGGACCGAAGTACACTGCTGAGGGGAGCAGCGGGCGGCAGGAGAGGTCTGCGCGCCATGTGGGACCCTCCTCTGGTGGCTGGGGAGCAGCCGGGGATCGAACCGGCGCCGCCGAGGCTGCGGGCAGCTTCACAACCCAGCGCTCAACCGCTGCGCCACCGGGGAGGCCCAGTCTAGAGTCTTATGTGCAGTATTTATGTTTCAAAAGTCATATCAAAATAAAGACAAAATGAGAATTTGTTGTCAGCAGTCACTTTACACTAAGAGAAATTAAGGAAAGGAAATGATACCAAATAGTAACTCTGATCTGCACAAAGCAAATTATACTATGAAAGGAAATATGTTAACAAACAAAATATCTTTCAAAAAAAAAGAAACAAAATATCTTTAACAAGTCATTTTTCACTAATAGATAACTATTTAAAGTAAAAATAACAAAAACATATCCCAGATTTTAATATATATGTAAAATTAAAATAGATGACAAAAAGTCGCACCAAGATTGGGGAGGAATGGCAGCATGGTGTTAAAAGGTTTTTACACTATTAGTGAAGTGGCATAATGAAGGTAAACTGTAATAAGTTATACATACACACTGCACACTTTAGAGCAATCACTTAATGAAAAAACATATGTAAATAAGAGCTATAGATGGAAAAGAAGCCAACAAGAAATAAACTGAATGCTGAAAAGTACTCAGCTATTCAAAAAAAAAGAAAGTAAGGAGGGGGAAAAAGAACAGAGATCTAGATCTAAATAAAGAACAGACAGGATGAGATGGCAGATTTTAAATCAACCAAACTGATAACTCTATGAAATACTTTATTTGGTGTTGGGAGGCTATTATCTGAAGCAAGTTTCCTAAGATATACCTTCAAGGTGTAATAAACTTGTCACAGGTGACAACCTTTATAGCAAGGTATAAAGTCTCTGATTTCTTCCATTAGTGTATATGACTCACCTCATTTTTGTAAGTACACAGTTATCAAGATTTACTAAACATAATAAACATAAGAGGCAGAAGAAATCCCTGGGAATGAGTCTGACTAGCTTTTCTCCCCATTCAGTCAAAAACATTGATATATATATATATATAAAAATAAGCCGCTAGCAAACATTTTCAGCTTAATCTTCTAATTAACTCTAAAAAGAGAAAATAACTTAGAGACACTTCTAAGACAATTATTCTCAATGAAGACTTTAAAAGTTTTTTTCCTGAACATATTTATTCAAACGAAAATCTTACCACCATTCTTAGAGTGCCAGAGTAAAGAAAAAAAACTACAGAGCAAAACATTGAACACAAGAACTATTCAGATTGCTAAGGGGCCTCCCTGGTGGTGCAAGGGGTTAAGACGCAACCTATGAAGCTTTTGCAGCCACTGCAGCATGAGTTCGATCCCTGGCCAGGGAGCAACCCACAGGGCACAGCAGACCTCTCCTGACTCACCCACTGCTCCCCCTTAGCAGTGTATTTCAGTCATTCCGCCTGTTCTTCCCCACTCTGTCTCTGGGGAATCCTCTCGCTCCCCACGCCTTTGGCCTATATCCCGTTCTTATATGCAAAAATAAATAAATCCTTTTTTTTAAAAAAAAATATTGCTTAGTACCTCTCCATCCTGGTGAAGGAAGTCTTAATCATAAAGACACATTTGCAAATTCAAAGAATAAGGTATCAAGATATTTGATGAAGACTTAAGAGGCACTTCAGTATGAAAATTTACAAGATGTATATAGATAAAAAGCTGTACATCTATGCCTTTATTATACAGTTTAACATAGTTTATTTAAACAAATTAATCTAATTTTTATAACTATCTTATAATATTTAGTAAAAAAAAGAGAAAAAATGTCAATGTGAGGATTAAGAAACAGATCTATAAGGATTCTTGGAAGTTGTTAATGGCAATGATAACAAATTTATATATTTCTCAAGGTTTCACACAGAATGCTAGGAAAGTCAAATAAAAACCCACAGACAAGTCCTACAACAAAATCAGGTGACA